TGTAAATAATTACAATACCTCATCTCTGAAATATGGATATTGTTAATGTTCTTTTTGTTTGTATTCTCAGTAGCCCGTTGTGTTTTAGCAGCTTTGCCTGAATTGAAATGGTGGGTGGGGTGGAGACTCTTTCATCATTGGCTAAAACAATGAGAACATTACTTGTGGATTAGCAGAAAAATAACATTGTGAAATACTAGATGAGATTTGCTTAGCAAATATCACACCAGTCTAGGACAATCTTAAATAGACAGGACTTTTTTTTTTTTTTTTTTTTTTTTTTTTAATATTTGGGGTGTACAAAATTGTGCAATCTAGTGTAAGTGTTGTTTTTTTTTATGTCTGAATTTAATGCATGCTTGTCTCTTTGCAGAGTTGAATATATGGAGAAGAGCAAACATTTACACAAACAATTGCAGGATCTCAAGAGTGAAATTGAAGTCTTAAAGGTTGATGACTGCATCACTGAAATGGACAGACTGCATGAAGAGAGCGTCATGAGAGGAGAAACGAAATACTCAACGCTGCGACGGGTAACTATTTATAATAAATTCTATTCAGTTTTATCCTTTGCCTGTTGTCAGCACCAACATAAATAATGAAAGTGATAAATGGCCATGAAAGACATTGGGGAAACATCTAGGAATTTCAATTAAACACAATATAGGAACACAGAAGATCTTTTACAAAACAACTCAGTGCATTAGTCCAGTATGTTTCTCAACCATTTTTACTTCAGGGTGCATTTGTAGAGTAACTAAATCCCTGGGGTGCATCTTAAATTTTAATAAGAGAAAAATTAGTTTTTTTTAAGAGAGGCCAATAATGAATGATTTAAATCTCTTAATAAAGGCAGAAGGGAAAGGATTATCCAATTAAGGAATTTAGCATCCAGTTTAATATGTCACATGAAATGATAAAGATTTGACTTGGGCATGTGCTTGAAGTCTAGTTTTTTAAAAATAAAGACTTTTATTAAAATAATTCATAAGTTGCTCTTCTGTTAATTTGGTGTGCATCTGGTGACCTTTCAGGGTGCATTAGTGCATCTGGATGCACTAGTCGAGCAATGATGCTGCATTCGTTGCTCATGAATTTGATCATAATTTCAACTTAAAGGATGCAGTTTTGGTTAAGAGAAAGACAAAATTCAGCTTTCTTGGCAAAACCATTTCTATTGCACTGTGGAATATTTTAGTAACCATGACAAGAGCCAAACAAAAGTGGTAAGAAGCTGAGTGGAGCGAATTAGGCTCTACATCTGTACATATCGGACATCAGAAACTTGAAACAAAGCATTCCAATATCTTCGGTGTTTCTCTTGATGTTTAATTATAATCAGTATTTTTTTGCATTTCATTCTATTATACTTTATATCTTTGTCTATTTCCCTCTTTCTTTGTCCGCATGTGCGCATGTCTTTATGTTATGTTAAATCCTGAAAAACCTTAAAAATTCATATCAGTTATAATTTATTTCATGAATATTTTTATATTCATCTCTTCAAACCAAAATTTTTTAGGAATGGAATCAAGGCAGACACATTTGGATAAAAAAAAAGGAGTAGGGGGCGGGGGAGATAAAAAAATAAAAAAGAGAGAAGGAAACCGATATGGATTTTTAAGGTTTTTCTTGATTTATCATTTTATTGCTCTGTAATTTACATTGAGCTCTCTTTGGATTAATGTCCTCCTTGGAATTATCTCTACCAATTACAAATTTGTATTTTATTGGTAAAACCAAAACAAAGCCTGTCAAGTAATCAAAGAAAATAAAAACAAAACCAATAAATATAAACAAAAAATTGAAAACATAAACTGAGAAGAAACCAAAAAATCGAAAGATGAACAGTAAAGGTCATTGCTCTATGTCTAAATGACAAAAGAGAGAACGTTCAGACTGCTACTCTAGTTTCACACTATTGTGATTGTCAGGCGGCCTGAACACACACACACACACACACACACACACACAGTCCCAGTCCCATTTAACAAAAAGTTTACTCACTTTTTACTTTACTTTTAGGGTTAAAATTCAGTACAATGTGGTTGGTTCTTTCCCTTGCTTTGGAACATTTACACCAATTATAACAAGAGTTATTTGCCCTTGGTTATCAAAGGATTATTATTTTTTTAAGATGCCATTTTCCACCTGTTGAAGCTGATTCTTAAATTTAATGAATGTTACTAGTATTTTTATATTTAAATTCTACTTCTTAAACAAAAAATTTAAATTATGGAAATGTCCTTGATTGTAATTAATATAAAAAAGCTAACCTGAAAATGATTAATTTGATTTTTGTCCTACATGACTTAAATGTTTTAGATTGAAAAATGAAAATAAAAACAACTTTGATATTAGGTAACTTAAGGGTCATAAAATCAACCAATCAACTTACAGATGCCGAATTTTGGAGTTTAGTGTCAGCCATCTAATTTCTGACACTATCTTGCACTATTTTTTATGGTATTTTTTTATTTTTTTTCTTTAAATTTCCTTTTTTGTTTAAATTTCTTTTTTTCTTTAATTTCTTTGTTTTTTGTTTAATTTTTTTTTTTTTGTTTAATTTTCTTTCTTTTTTTTTCTTTGTCTAAATTTCTTTTTTTTTTTTTTTTTTTTTTTGTCTAAATTTCTTTCTTTTATTTATTTATTTATTTATATATATATATATATATATATATACACGCACACATATATATAAGAAGTTAGCTCAATGTTGTAATGACAGAATAAATTATATAATTCATAATTTCCTGCTCCAGGTCTGGTCAACCACAACTGTCAGTTTCCGATATGTTATGTATACATTCTTCAGGTGGCTGGCATTAAATGCTCAATGATCTCGGCATTTTCTTCCCACCTTGGCTAATCCATGATGTTATAATAAGGATACTTAATGAAATATCTTGGAGTTCTGTCCCTTGTCAGAAATGAATGGAGAAAATATTGGATTGGCCAACAATTTTGTTTGCTTATGATGTAGAATTTTTGAACAACCCTCCTTGAGTCTATCCGCATTGAGAATGAAAAGTTGAAGTATGATATTCAAAAGCTGGCCTCCTATCTGGACTTCATTCATGAGAATGTAATATTTGCTATCTGGTTCTGTCTACCATCTTAAAATCACATGACAACGCTTTGACATATAATCTTGATAGCCTTTTTCCAAGAACAGCTGAAAATGTATGATGTTTTTGTAGAATCTGTAAAACCAGTTTGCTTCTGAAAAAGAAACCTTGACAGTTCATGAGGATGACATTATTCAATTTGATCCAACAAATTCTAATAGAAGTTGACATGCCGTTAAATCCAACATCCATCCATCCATCCAACAAATTCTGTTATGGTGACCTTTGTATGTCACATATCTTTCAAGCTGTGCAAATCCAAAACTGGGCAAACAAGCTACCTTCGAGTCCATGCTCATTTACAACTAATTTATTGATGTATCATAAAAGGTGCTGAAATCAGCATATATACCATATGTATATTCCTTTACTTATGTGTATAAGAGTGTGGTGTTTAAATTCTTTTAAGAACTTTTTAATATGCATAAAAAAAAATTATTTATCCGTTGTGTGTTACGTAATTGTTTTTAAATATGTGGATATTGCTGTTATTAAAATTCAATGAACGTTTTTTTGTTTGTTGTTTTTCTGTGTTTGTTGATTTTTTTTTTTTTTGTGTTTGTTGATTTTTTTTTTTGTGTTTGTTGATTTTTTTTTTTTTTTGTGTTTGTTGATTTTTTTTTTTTTTGTTTGTTGATTTTTTTTTTTTTTTTTTTTGTGTGTTTTTTTTTGTGTTTGTTTTTCTCTTTAAAAAAAAAAAAAATCTAATTTTATGTTTTATAATTTTAATTTCAGATCAAATCTACCTCCAGCAAAGCCCGTGTTGCCTTCTTTGAGGAACTTTGAGCTATCAGCTGCCCCTGGTTGTGTTCTTACTCTTTTTGCCTTGACAGTGCAAAAACGTTCATGTGCTGCCAATTTGGTTGGCTATTTTAAATTTGAACCAATGTGGTTACTTCCTGCCTGCAAGATGGCCAGTCCTTGACATAACAAGTGCTAGTATTATAGCAAACTAATACTTACCGTGTGTATTTCATGCCTTTTTTACCATCAAATTTTATTGAAAAAAAAATTAATCTTTTAAACCTACGGGTAGTTGAGTTAACCCCAGTGGCTTGTCATCTTGTCTCTTGGTTATTCACCATTAAGTGTTTCTAGGGTATATTACCACTTGGAAACAGCCACCTCCTCTAAAATTTGTTTTAGTATACATGCTAATATAAAGGCCTTTATTTATTTTTTTTTATTGCCATGTGGGTGTCATTCCAAGCTAATGATCATCAGTATTGTGCAATTTGAATTTTTATTTTAAATGAAAAAACTTGGCCAATGACTATTTGCAGAATTCAAAGCCTTTAAATACAGAGCCTGTTACGTAACCTTTAATTTCAAATGGATTTTTTTAATTTGACATTGGTTCTTATTACTATAAACTTTAATGGTTACATGTCTTTGAGTTGCTATCCTTGGTTTTTATTTTTTATTTTTTTTTTAAACAGTGAAATTAATAACGGCAATCTGACTAAAAAAATTTGCTCTGCAAAAAGGATTTGAATCTGTATTCCCTCAAGGAAATCCTTCCTGAAACATTGTTGCCAATTTGGCCATGGGATGCCATTTGCTTTATCAAGATGATAAAACAAGTAACTGGATTTTGCTTTATCAAGATGTTCTACTGTAATCAAATTGGTAGTGGCATGTTTCAGCAATAGGAGTGGAAAAAGTGATACTGGTTCAATTCCTATTGAGAGGCATGTTTTTCTTAATCTAAGCCTGTTGTTTCACTGTTTAAAAAAAAAAAAAAAAGGCAAGTAGCAATTCAAACACGAGTACCCACACAAAAGTATGTTCGTAGTAATAAGAAACGTCATACTATGTTCAACAGTCTTTAATGATAAAATTTCAGCATTTTCATATTTTTTAACAAATCAGTTAAACTCTTTTTTTTTCTTGTTTCTTTTTGTTTCTTTTTGTTTCTTTTTTTTCTTTTCTTTTTCCTTTTGTTTTTCCTCTTTTCTTTTCTCTTCTTTCCTTTTTTTTCTGCCTACTGTTTGGTTTTATATTAAAACATAAACAGAGACAATCCGTCACATCAGGATTCCACATCTTTGGAAGTTTAAAAATGCTGTCTCAGTTTGCACTATTATCATTCTGGTCAATCTCGTAGGGTTTTCTTTCTTTTTGTCTCTCCTACATTTTCTGTAATAATGATAGATTTGCCTATGTATTTCATACACTAAAGGTAACATCTGTTGTGGGACAAATGGAGTGTTTTACATTATTAATGGTTGCCATTATTGTCTAGCCAATGCATTCTTTAACATTCTCTTCATCCTCAAAACTTAATTTTAATAAGCCTTATTAAAAGTAATAAGGGAAGATAAGTGTTCACTTCTTCTCTGGAAATTGTTGTCTTATTCAAACAACTGCTAAAACTCTCATTATATTTGGTAATTCTTGTTATAGAATTGACATTCTTTTTTTTTTTTTTTTTTTTTTAAACATTGGTTTTATTGAAGTTGTCTGTTTCTCTCAAATGCTGAAAATGCCAGTCTTCTCAGGACAAAGTCACTTTGCATTTATAGAACTTTTTGTGAACAATGTTTATTCCCACAATTTTTATGGAAAAGGGAAACAATTCTATAATTAGCAGTTAATTGTTGCAAAGTTATTTCCCTTGTTTTTTTTTTTTTCTTCTCCATCCATCCTTTCAATAGATAAATTAATTAAAAATTACCCAGAAACTTGTGGTCTGATTAAACTAGAACTAGCTTTATTCTTAGACTCTCTATTTTTCTTTTTGAATTCTAGGTAACAATCAGAAATTTGATCATATTAAATTTGAATATTTTATAGCCAAAATAAGTAGTTATTTTGTAATTTTCATTTGAAATAAATCATATAACCAAAGACTTTGAATGAAGTCAGAGAAATGAGATTTTTAGTACAGGAACTTTTTTTCTTTGCTATTGTCCAAACATTGTATGTAACCAAATTACCTGTATGTGTATATATATATATATATATATATATATATATATATATATATATATATATATATATAGAAAATATCTGGAAAAACAAACAAAAATCCTTAGAATGTGATTGTTGTTTTAATATGAATGAAATGTCGACGTCTGAGTTTTCGGTTTAATAACCTTCTTCAGGACAATATTCATTAAAAATACAATACAATTAACATAATCAGTATAAACTCGACGAAAAACGATGGACATAAAAAACAAGTCTTATCCAAAACAGATGAAAGAAAAGTTTAAATGATCAGCTTTCCGTTTGGCGTGGTCACGTTGTCATCAAATGGGCGGCGCTTTCAAAACGTATTCTTAAAATTTTATAAAATTTGATTCCGATGGAAAGCAGTTCGTTTGTAGGAATACGCGGAGACTAGTAGATTCTTGTATCTTCAGATAAGCATGCAGTCCTCCATGTAATAAAATGAATTCAGGTTTGTATTTCCAGTGTATAATATATATAATGTTTCCGAGAGACCCCTAGTTCTTTTTAAGACACACTTGAGAGTGAAGGCTCACTGGGACATCCTTGTATTAGGGGGAAACTTGTATATAAAACCGAAGCATACTTGATCTTTGGTTATTAGAACCTTTGTTATGCCACTGTGCTATGGCCACTTGTGCTGAAATGTGGGTTTAACGCTGTATGCTGTTCTATCCACTCAAATGTATATTTGCGTATTATGATTTCTATAAAAAAGACAACTTTACACAGGAACCTCTTGGACTGTTTGTGACATGGAAATCATCCCTGAAAAGTTTGTTTGCATATTATGAGTCCTGGAGTGGTCTTACTTGGTCATGAGTTAACTTCCACCGTGTTTGTGTAGGGGGGCAATAGTAGGCTAATGAAATACATTCAAGAGACAAAAAAAAAAAAAATGATGATAATAATCCTATTATAATTGTGCTTGTCCCTCCCTTTGTTAGTTAGCACGACCATTATGCCCTGTCAATGCCTCATAAATAATGGACTATTCCGTGTTTTGAGTGCGTGGAAAGATGGGAAGGGATACTACTTAGTTTCATTGAGAAAATGAGAGAGAGAAGATAGAAATGGAGATAGAAAATTGGTCTAAGCTGATAAGAACAGAGACTTCACTTTGATCACAGCCAAAAGGTTGAGAGTGATGGTAACCAATAAAAGTGCAGTTTTACAGATGAGTAAGGCAATCACTACAAATCCAGTTACCATAAATGACATTGTCTGCTGAATTATTTTAAAATTATTATTAAGAGAAATGTTTGTAGGATGAGGATTTGGCTAGAAGGAAATATGGGAAGATAAGTGTTTAATGTCTCCTGCCAATAGCTCATAAATAATGGACTATTCCATTTTGATTGTGGGTAAAAGACACTAGTTGACTTCAGTAAGAAAAGGAATCAATGAAATAAAGAAGGGAAGATATAAATGTATAATGGCTGTTTCAGTGAACTTGAAAAAGTTGTTAATTTCAAATCTCTTTTCATTTCTACCCACTTCTTAAAATAACGACCAGCATTCATATTTATTATTGTTATTGCAATATATTATTAAAATTGTTAAGCTCAAATAGATGATATTATAGGGGAATTTCTACAGATTTTTTTTTATTGTTGTAGAACTTGCCATGATCTTGTTCAATCATTAACTTAAAAATTAAGATTCATGAGAAAATTTAAATAGGAAAGCCATGAAATTTTAACGGGTCTTTCTAGTGATAAGATGATATTGTATATTGTTTGACTAAATGGAAGTTTGATGAGGAAAGAAGTTAAAAATCTGAATCTTTGCCTGTGTTCTTTCTCAACAAGAAAAAAAAGTTGGACTACATTTTTATTTTTTTATTTTATTTTTTATTTTTTTTGTGTGTCTTATAAATCTCATGGTTTTGGGCTAGCTGTTAGAATTTAGGCATACTCAATAAATTAACTTCCCATAAAAAGTCCTAATTGTGGTAAACAAACAGCCAAAAACTATTAGATGCGCCCCCCCCCCAAAAAAAAAACTACCTTCCATTGGTGAGATGTAAGTTCCACTTGAGCAGTTTCTTCCCATGAGCCACTGCTTTCTGAAACCAAGGATGCTTCCATGATCACTACAAACTTAACTTGTTCTAGTCTAGGGTAACTGTTATCTTCTCCATATATCCCCATAAACTTCTTACTCTGTAACCCTCTACCACGAGTGGCTCTTGGGCCTTATACTGGGTGGACATCATTGTTAAAGAAAAAGCATTTCTTCAGAATGTTGTCAAATCCTTCTTCGACAATGTATATGCATCCCCCCCACCACCAATATCACATTAAATAAGATTTGATGACACTCTCGAACATGACACACCCCTCAGGAAAACCAACAATTACACATTTGGTGGTGAGGTGTGGAGAAAGATAAACCTTAAATGAATCTAAACAGAACCAAAAATGACAAACTGGTTAAAATCGCCTGTTGAACAAAAATACAGACAAGTGCCTTGAAAATATTTACAAAAAAATTTTTTTTATTTTTAATCTAATATTCTAGCAAAAAAAAAAAATCATGTCTCATTCCTATTCTGAGCTACTGTTTGAAAAGTGGCCTTTTTTTCTTTTTTTTTTTTTTTTTTTTTTTACAAATTCAAGAACAGTGTTTTAATTCAGGTCAAGTTTTCTTTTTTTTTTATGTTCACTTACATGCAAACACCCTTTGAAAAGGTATGAATCTCTCTTCCTCACCCCCTTATCTAGGAGTTCAAAATAAATCATCACTGCAAATAAAAAAAATATATTTATCTTACAATCCCTCATGCCAAAAAAGGAAATATTTTGTTATTAAATAATTCCCAAATAAGCCAAAAAGAAACTCCAATCAATCTGTCTCTTGATGTTAGTAATTGAAAACCAGTTTGAAATTAAGCAAATCTTTCTTTTTTATATAATGTTATCAGAAAAAAATATAGGGCAAAATTTAAAACGGTGTGTCAAAAGGACAGTTTTTTTTTTTTTTTTTCCTTGATGCTGCTATTATTTTGTACTATCTTCACTCCCCCTGGTAATATTTATTGTTTTAAAAAGCAATGATTAGATTTTCATAGAACCCAAACATATGAAATGGAATTTATACATTTTCTTTGTTCTTTGAGAATTAACAACAAAAATATTAAATACTATTTATTTATTAGATTGTTTATTTGCAAGAAAGATTTCATATTTACAGATTTCTAAAGATACAAACCAACTAATACAATGCAATATTTATCATTTACCAATTTGAAGTGAAGAAAGATTTTTTTCATAAATTTACAAAAATTTATTAAATTATAAAAATGTCAACCAAACCATTTTCCCATTCTATAATACTTTTGTTATTTTCCCATTCTATAATGAAGCCTTTGTTATTTTCCCATTCTATAATGAAGCCTTTTTATTTTCCAATTCTTTATAAATGAAGCCTTTGAATATAAAAGCCTTTGTTATTTTTTTATTCTATATAAAATTTCCGATTCTATAAATTTTGTTAAATTTATAGTGAAAATTTTCCGATTCAGCCTTTATTTTCCGATTCTATAGTGAAGCCTTTGTTATTTTCCCATTCTATAATGAAGCCTTTGTTATTTTCCCATTTTTGAAGCCCCATTCTATAATGAAGCCTTTGTTATTTTCCCATTCTATAAGCCTTTTTATTTGAAGCCTTTGTTATTTTCCCATTCTTAATGAAGCCCATTCTATAATGAAGCCTTTGTTATTTTCCCATTCTATAATGAAGCCTTTGTTATTTTCCCATTCTATAATGAAGCCTTTGTTATTTTCCCATTCTATAATGAAGCCTTTGTTATTTTCCCATTCTATAATGAAGCCTTTGTTATTTTCCCATTCTATAAAGTTTGAATTAATTGGCAATTCACTAAAGTATTGCCAATTTCAAAGAATACAATTTGTTGAAAATTTTGTAGGTTTTTATGAATTTTTTTTTTTTTATTAATGAAAAAAATTTCTTTTCAAATTTATTCCTTTATAATATAGCAAATGATAAATATCAAATTCTACTTGGTTCACATAGTTTTATAATAATC